GCATCTTTCTTACAATGCCAACAAATGGCTACAATCACTTGATTTAAAAGCAACATTGGTTGGTAGCAATATTGTTCAGCCAACAATATTATTGAGTCACACTAGTACTTTAATAAATGTTTTGCTAAAATAATAAGCATATACAGCAACTATAAATGATGTCAATTTTATTGTTTTTCAAAATTTCACTAATATGTAATTCACTAAGATTTCATTACATTGGGTTTCTTGTTACAAATAAATTTTGGTGTCTGGTTTACAAGTTATTAGCTTTTCTTGAATTACTGGCATAGCAGATTTCATAAAACATTTAAATTCAAAGTTCTTCATTATATTAAATATAATATTTAATACTACATTTCTAAACATTTTTTTATTTATTGTAAAATCTAACAGCATCGGAATTTATAATGAACTCATCAAATCAATTATGTCATTACCACTAAGATTTTTGTCTGATAGTTGTATTGCCCTGATACTTGCACAAATATTCTGATCTTCCTATATTATCCAATATTATTACCAGTCACCATATTATCAGCAAATTGACCAGAATATATGTTCGCTTAGTTGTTTGAAGTTGTAAATGCCATGTAGATGCCATGCATCACTATGATTTTGAATTGTGCTTTTATCTGCAAATTGTTTAAAAGTAAAATCGTCTGGCATTAGACAAGTAAAAGAAATAAGTAGGGTGCACTGGGGTGCATAGCCTGCGTAGCAGGCGCTATTTAGGGGGGAGGGCGAGGGTGGGAGGAGCTAGGGGGGATGCGAAGGCGAGAGAAAGAGAGCGAGGAAAAATGGAAGGGGCGAGAAGGAAATAGCTATTTCTTTCTCGCCCTTCCCATTTTTCCTCGCTCTCTTTCTCTCGCCTTCCCATCCCCCCCCCTAGCTTCTCCCACCCTCGCCCTCCCCCCTAAATAGCGCCTGCTACGCAGGCTAGGGTGCATTGCAGCTCGGTGGATTAAACAACATTTAACTGTAGCTATAAAAGTATGAACATGCTACTCAATTGACACTGCTGTTATTAAATGCTGAAAAGAAAAGTTGAAACTTGTCGATATGACCTCATCACATTATGGCTGTGGGTTTGCTTCTTCACATATATATACCCTCGCAACTGCAAGGGTCAGTGTTGTATGGTGATCAGTTAGTGCACTGATTTTCAGGAATGTAGCGAAGCGTCTGAAGTTTGGGAGGGGGGAGGGGTGTCGGATGTCAAATGGTCATCATTTCACAAATATAACAACTTTTTTACACAAATTTTACCTCAAATGTCAAAATTTACACTATACTTCAATTTTACCTGAGTTTCACAGTTGTGGGGTTTACATCCCTGTGGGGTTTACACACACCCACACCCCTGTCTCTACGTCCCTGCTGATCTTAGATCAGTTATATATTTACATCTGGACTTGATATCCAAAAAATATACTGCACCTACTGTATGTCATGCAGTTGTATTTCCTGGTTTAATAGGTCATGTAAAATAATACATTTTCTGTAAAATAATATGTAAAATAATACATTTTCACTCAATTACTTCCATCTAGAAGATCCTTCAACTGTATGTAAACAGACTGAGCTTCCACGCTAGTGACTACTATAGACTATATTAATATAAAATAGTCCAGCCTGTTTTCTGTGTTAATTGTAGTTTTGTACCTGCTAGCTAGTGGATAGGGCCAGTTGTAGTGTTGTTATAAAATATACCAACAATGGACTTGCTTCTTATATAATTTACCCACACAATGGTATATTAAAGTGCAAGATCTGTTATTCTGTGCAAGAACGTTCGATTATAAACAGGATTGTAAACTCACTATCAAGCTTTATATGAAGCGTGATCAAAATCTCTTTGACCAGAAGCAGAGTCCAGAGCAGACATGAATAGCAATGATATTGACAGATTCACAAATTGTAAACATAAAATATATCGATTGAAATAACAAAAATTAACTTACCGTTTCTGTGAAAAATTCATTCGAGTATTTCTACGAGAGTTGCCAACTGTATAAATTTTGCTGAGTGAGGCATATATCTGCCACTTTAAAGTCGTTACCCGTTAATACGATCACAGTATAAGGATACAATACCTTTTCTGTGGCATTTATTGCAGCCATTTAATATCATCGCCTCATGCCATCAACGACAGTTTCCGAAGCCAGTCGACAGGTTCCGTCACAACTTCACAACTCTTACAGTTTTAGCGTTACATTGTGGCTAGCCCGCGAACGGGCTAGCCACAAAAAGCAAGGAGGTACATGCAGCCAACGTGTTCCGTCACGGGCATTTACGCCGTTGTCAACGGTGCAAATTCTTGTTCAGTGCAGCGATAACTCTACCAGATCTTACGAAAATCAATCTGTAGTATTCTGTACACAGAACTGTTCAAAGCTTGTCAAAACTGCTTTAAACATTGCTTAACTGTGAAACTATTGAAATCTAAAGTGATATTATTCAACACATGCGAAAAGCTGAAAATAAACGTGACACTGGGAAAAGTCAATGAGACATTGAGACTAGTTGTTATTGTGAAGCATGTCACAATTAGTTTAAAATGCGGAAGCGGATGGAGCGGATCCACGGAACGGATATGCAGATAAAATACGGAACGGATGAGGATAAAATGCGTCTTTTTAATGATGTAACGACGTAATGCTTATTATTCATAACATATCTTACACAGCTATTTCAATTATAGTTTTAGATAAATTTAGCATAGCAGTAGCCTCGTGGGGGCTTTTAGCGACAGCTGCAAATGCAAATAAAAATTTAGAATATGCAAAATTTGGTTGTTGGTGAAACCATTTAAATTTTGAATTGTCTCGTGTAGCATCGTGTAGCATCACAATAAATAAATAAATTGCATCAGTTTCACAAGTCACGTTTCTGGTGTGTTAGGCTTGTTTCAAACGTCACGCTACTCGTGTGCCGAGCGTATTAAAAGCGATAAATGAGATGAAATGCCTTTGGTAACTGTTTATTTCGTAGTGTAAGCCATCAGCTTTTCTAGGTTGTCGGCGACCATATATAGTTCTTGCAGTGTCTTTTTCAATTCGAAACTTATCAAACACGATATCCCAACTTAAAACGGATAATTCTGTCATTTCAGACGATAAATTGAAATCTGAGGCTTTTAACGATTTCTTTGTCAATATCGGGGCAAAACTTGCAGCTGAAATTGAAGATAATTCCCTCAACACAAATTATTTTGCTCGCGGAGATTCTAGGCCTACTACCGACTCCAATCTTTTTTTCAAATTTTCTGAAATTAACGAGGACGAAGTAATATATCAATTGCGTAGTCTCAAAATTTCAAAATCCACAGGATTAGATAACATCCCTGCTAAAGCCCTTAAAATATCCGCGGACATTGTTGGTCCGCCATTAACTTGGATATTTAACCTTTCGATCAAAAAAGGAGAATATGTGGATGAATGGAAAAAAGCCTGGGTTACACCCATTTATAAATCTGATGACAGGTTGAAATGCGAGAATTATCGCCCTATCTCGATACTACCCATTGTTAGTAAAATACTTGAGAGATGCGTTTTTAATCAAATTTATAAATTTCTTAATGACAATTCACTTCTTTCAAAACATCAACATGGTTTTCGGCCTAAACATTCAACTCTCACCGCTCTAACTCAGGTGTGCGATACTCTTTATGAAAATATGGATAATGGTCAATTGAGCGGCATTGTTTTTCTTGACATTCGTAAAGCCTTCGACTCAATTGATCATAATATTCTGCTTCATAAATTAAAAGATCAATTCGGTAAATCGGATATTGAGTTAAGATGGTTTGAGTCTTACTTAAATAATAGGGAGCAAGTCTGTATTGTTAATAATTCAATGTCATCGTCAAAAAGGATTGTTTCTGGGGTTCCGCAGGGATCTATTTCAGGTCCACTGTTATTTTTACTCTAGATCAATGACCTCCCCGACTGCCTTCAAAAAACTACTCCTTATTTATATGCTGACGATACCCAAATTTGCTGCAGCTCTAACAGTTTGATTGAATTAACCGAAAACCTTAATCACGATCTGAGTAGAATCGGTGATTGGCTTTCTAGAAATAAATTACAACACCACCCAACTAAGACCAAAATAATGTTCTTTGGCTCTAAACATCATATTAATTCCACAACTTTTGATCATCCAGTGATGTTAAATAACCAACGCATCCCCAGAGTTCACTCTTTCACATGTCTTGGTCTCGATTTAGATGAAAATCTTAACTGGAATTCACATATTCAGGCGATTTGCAAAAAGGTTGGAGCAGGCCTGGGTACTTTGAGACATATTAAACCCTTTGTTCCAATAACCACCCTTCAAACAATTTATCGAGCTCTGATTCAGCCGTATTTTGATTATTGTTCTCCCATTTGGGGTGTCTGTGATCAAAATTTGAAAAATAAACTCCAAAAATTTCAAAATCGCGCAGCCCGAATCATTGTCGGTGCAAGTTATGAGATTAGATCTGCTGATGTTCTTCAATCTCGTGCTTGGGACAATTTAGAGACAATACGACGTACAAACAAAGCAATATTAATGTTTAAAGTCTTGAAGGATTACGTAGGACCTACGTTGAAAGAATCCTTGATAAGACGCAATCATATGCAAACAAATTATGATCTTAGAAATAGTCATACAGATTTGGCTCTTCCTAAGCCTAAAAGAGAATTCCTAAAAAAGGGTTTTAAATACAGTGGAGCTAAGCTATGGAATAGTCTCTCTATCGATACGAAACTAGCAGAATCAATGCACCTGTTCAAAAGCCATTTAAAACTTAACTCTAATACTATATATATTTGAAATAAATTGTAACTCCGTCTAACCATAACATCTGGGGTCACACCAATTTGTAAATAGTCTTCTTTTCCCTTACATTTTTTGTAATTTTTAACATTGTAGACGCCCCCCGTGGAAACCAACGCACCGTTGACGGGGCTAGTGTCTCTAAATAAAGTTTTAATACAATAATACAATACAATACTATCCTTGGATCCCTAGTTTATAATTAATATTTGTCCCTTTATCTCTATAACTTTATTTACTTCCTATGTTTGGAGCCGTAGACGTCTTCTAACATTCAGGTACCCTAATATATGTTTTTAACTTGAAGACAAGGATCAACATGGAATGTCAGAGGATGACGATGGTAAATTGCCTTTTTTATAATATATTTGTCCCTTTAATCTTTATATATATTAACCTGATTTACTTCTTATGTTTGGAGCCGTAGACGTCTTATAACATTCAGCGGACACTAATATATGTTTTTAAATTTTTAGAAACTGGAGACAAGGATCAACATAAAATGTCAGAGGATGACGATGGTATAAAAGACCTTTTTTAATTAATTTTATCTAACTTTAAATTACTTCTTATAAGTTCGCAGGTGTAAACGACGTTTCTCCAACTGTATTGGACCATAAACGTAGAAATTAGTATAATTGCACTTTCACGGGGATTATATAGTTAAGATTGGGATAATAGTCAAGATGACTTCATTCATACAATTACATTTAGTACTAATTTTAAGAGGATGACATTTATATATATTTTTTATATATATCCGCCGTATAGAAAAGGAACCAGAAGATGACGTTGGTAAATGACCTTTACTATATTACATATGTTTTTTTCCTATCTAAAATAAGTATAACTATTAACGCCGATTCATGCACTTAATGGAACTGTCGAGCATGAGCATGCATGCAGGTTGACAATATATGTTAATTTAAGAAAATGACGTACTTTACGCCGTAGAGAATCGCGTATGATTGACCTCTTCTACATATGGTTTATTTATCTCTTTTATCTAACTTTATTGTATAAAGTATAATGCTTTATAGAGATTTCGAGCACTGATGCATGTGACATTATTTATGATAATTTCACATGTGAAAGTTATCGCTTTTCAATTATCGCTTTTCTGTAAAAATTATCGCTTTTCAAAGACTATCCTTTATATAATAAACAGGAAAATACATGCATGGATGCTTGGAAATACCGGATTTATGTCTCGTGTGGAACATGATATTTCCGCGCACCCATTTATTATTCTCTATTTAATTTACCTCTTACATGTTGGCAGCTCAGTTTAAACGACTTTTTTTCTAACAGTTTCTCTTTTCCTAAATCCTAACATGTGTTTATATAAATTTTTAGCCACTGGAGACAAAAACCAATATGAAATACCAGAGGATGACGATGGTAAATGAAAAATAGTGAAACCTTTTTAATTTTAGTTCGTGCAAAAACGTAGTTTGCGACTTTATGTCGGACTTTATAACGCGGCGGAAAGTATAAAGTACAAATAATTGGACATGAACATTAATAAATATGAAAAAGGAACGCCGATTACTTTGCAATTGCATGATTGCTTTGCGATACTTCTAGTGCGATAGCAGTGATGGGCTTCATGAAGTATGATACATCCAATGAAGTGGCATCAGTGGCGTTACCGAGGCCATTACGCTCGGGGGGGGGGTGTATTTCTCTATACTTACCGACTGGAATTCCCCCCTCCCCTAAAACCCTGGAGAGCGGTGGAGGGAAGGGTTTAGAACCATGCAGCGTCAACTGCGTCTTACTGAAAAATTTCACGAGTGCAAACAGGTCATTCACTGATTTTGCCTAACGTTTTAGTCGGTATGTCCATTTACCGACATTGTATCAATTTACCTACCAATTTCAAACTTTACCGACCATTTTCCAAAAATACTGGTGGGCCGGTGTCACAAACACAACACCCCTCTCCTCGGCACGCCCCTGCGTGGCATTATCCATGATTCATCATCTAATAGAGATGATTCATCATCTAATAGAGCATACTATAATAAAAATGCAGATCGACGTATGTATATATTATTATGAATATCATTTTTGTTGCTCTTTTTATCAATATATACAGAAAACAAGGAGCTACTGAAAGTACTAGAAGGCGACGATGGTAAGTTTTAGTTGTATTTTTATTTGTTGTATAAATGCAGCTATAAAAAAAAGCAATTCTTCCTGTATCAATGGGCCAATAAACGTCAATATTGTAAGCATTAAGCATCACACTTTGATGAAAATGATATTTAATTTGTTCTTTTTTAACAACTGTAGACAAAGAGCTTCCTGAAATACTACAACCAAGAAAGGATAAAAACGGTAAATGGCCCTTTCTATCGCGATTCGTCTCATCTAGATTACTATAACTTTAATTAATTTACTTTTTATGTTCAGTTTACGTAAACCCTTTTCTCCAACGAACCGTCATTGGACCCTATTATTACACTTTCATGCACTGAAGATGACATTTAATTATATATTTTCAGCCAGTGGTGACAACGAAGCTGAAACTCCAGTATCAGAAGATGACGATGGTAAATGGCCTATTATATCACTAATAGAACCAATTAAACAAAACCTAGGAAAATTACGATAATTGCAAGTTATTAAAAGGAAGGACATTCCAAAGCAAAACGCAGCACTTATATAAGCCTATTTCCCATTTCATTTATTTAAAGGAGACACAACGTATCTCCTTCAATGGCAGTTACATGCTTTCATGTCTGCATGGTTTTCACAAGCGATGCAAGCTTAATTAGCATTGTATTTATAAAAGGCCATCACGGAACAACTGTGGATCCGCATAGCTATGATACTGTCTATATAGGCTGACAAAAAAGTCGTCACATATTTTAAATAATCTAACGTAAAACTCCTCTCAAATATATATTTTAGTGACGTCCCAAACAATGAAAGAGAAAGTGATCAAACGAAAGAAAACCCAAGCATTAGAAGACGGGCTAAAAACATATTTTCAGCCATCGTCAAAAAAACGCTCACGAAAACCGAAAATTTTTTAAAACTTATACAATTACATATTTCAAATTCTGTAAAGATATAATATATATATATATGCTGGACAAATAAATATATTTTTTGCATTATCTTGATATGTCTTATTATATGACAGTATATGTTGTCATGCATATACGTCTGTATAAAAAAAAGGTAATCGAACTTCTGCACGCTATTGACTATTGAGTATTGTACGTGAATTACTCGGATCAAAATGTTATCATATCTAGGAACATCATGCTTTTAGCAATAAAATTACATGTTTTTCAGCCATGCCAAGTGAAAAAAAAGAAGCAAGTACGAGTCCAATAAAAAATCCGGTTTTTCACCTCTGTGCCTAATTAAAGCATGCAGTGCATAACAAGTGCATAAGCCTGTCGATTTATTTATTTCATTATGACTTGTGTTTTGCTATACCAAGTTTACCTTTTCTTAAATTGCATGGGACGTGCTGTCATTTTAGTTTAGTTCATAAATAATCCGTCTGAGCGAAGGAATTGTGTTTTAATATATAAATATTCCCAAATCCCAATAGCAAGGCTCTTCTTTCTAAGTTGGATGGCGTTATGATAAATCTCCGTGTATCATCAACGTGAAAACAAGCGCAGTATTTAAGGTTGGTATACTACAATGCATTACAGTTATCTTGTTATTTTATAGTCAAATTTCCGCTTTGTTGTTTTTATTCCTGTACTGTACTGTAATTTCAGAAATACACTGCACAAAATGATAGCGTAATATTTGTGTTTATTGCCTCTAGTTTGACCCTATTGTGTGTGTCTATGTACTCTGTCACTGTGATAGTTATGTACATGTTTTGAGTTAAACAAATTGTTTAATAAATTTTTGCTGAAGTAGTATACAGTAGTTATATATTTTGCAATTTTCATCTGTAAGTAATAATGCCATATTTGTGTGTTGTTCTAATATTACTGTAAATAGTGATACACTTTTGCATTAGATTGCTAATTTTAGAGATTACAGTGTACGTATAAAATAAAAATTTTCTTGTTATGATTTTGTAGAAAAAGATCTACTTGAGTGGTTGGCTGGTCTTGAACCTGGTCAGGATGGATATATGGTAATGAAGGTGATACGGTAGAAAGTGGTGACCATGCAGTTAAGTGATGAGGATGAAAGTGACGAGAACGAAATCATCCATGCTGTACCATTCAAGTGCACCAGTGCTGCTCACGAGAAAAACTACCAACATCATTTGGAACGGGCAATATACTTGCTCTTCATGGACAAGATAAACCAGTGAATGTAAGAATATGGCCAGAGCAATTGAATCCAATGGACCCAAGTGCAATTGATCTGGACTATATGGAACTGGATGGACACATGTTGGTTATTTAATATTGCTTCTGAACTATGCGAGTATTTGCACCCACTAATTGCCGCAGGAGATATCTTAGAGGTCTATGTTCAGCATACAAGTATAGGGTTGATTTAAATTTTAAAATAGGATTTTGTCCAAAAATTTCATTAAAGTAATGTGGTGAGTGGGAGACTCAAGTGGTAAAGAAGAGCATGAGTGTATGTTGACAGATGTTTGTGATATAATAGCAACTGACTAGGTTTAGCAAGTTATAGAAATGCTGTTATTTCAATTGGCTAACTTTTTAGATTTTTTGTCAGCATTTTTAATAAACAAAAACTAGGTTAATCACAAGTGGGTGCAATTAAAACAATGTCTGTCATTAAAACAATGTCTGTCAATTAAGTACATAATTGTAACATGTGCTGTACACTAAATTAATAAAGAAATAGTTTATACATTCACTTGACCAACTTTGTGAGTAATTTTTCATTAAAATTAATGCAACAATAAAACAAAAATATGTCTATTTATATACATATTGATCAAAGGTCCCACAATAACATGCTGTGTTATGTATCAATGTTAAGGTTACAGGACACCCTTTTTGGCGTTTTGTGGAAAATCGCTACTGCGCGCTCAATATCAGTCCGATTTTCATCAAATTTTCACCAAATGTTCTCCAGTGCATGCAAAATATGGTAAAGTTGTAAAATTAACAAACAATAAAATAATGTAAGAATTATTCAGGAAAATCTTAAATCGCGGTACCGTTATGCTTTTGAGTTGTGCTCCTGCTGGTTTTAAGTTATATTTATGAAAATATCATTTTTATACAGTAAAATAGTTGTTCTAAAAAATCGTGTTCGGAAATTTTTGTTTATTTCGTCATTCCGCTGATATGGCGATTTCTTTGATGACTGCAATATATTTCTGAATTGTTTGAGTCAATTGCTCTTTATTTTTAAAATATCCAAAATTTAAAAAAAGCCGAACACATTTTTGAAACTGACGTCTTTAGCTATGTCCTGTGAAAATTTGAGAGAAATTCGTTAAAATCCGCAGGAGCACAACTCGTTTGAAAATCAGTAATTACCGTAAAATTTTTCGGGAGAAAATTGAATTTGAATATTACATTTTCAATGATTTTCTTAATGCAGTGAAATGTACTTCATTAAATAACTCTGCGAGTTTTCAACATTTTTCGTTCAAACTTGGTCAGATAGTAGAACTAGTCTAATGCTTTTATGGAAACCAATAAAAAAATTTTAGGCAAAATTAACACTCAAAGGTGTTCTGTAACCTTAAGTCCCAGATGTGGGGTATTTAATCATTAATTGCATCCCCACCCTAGGGATTTTGATTAGGATTTTGGGCCCGAGTTAGGGCAGTTTGAACCAAAATGACTTTTATTAATATAGTATTTAGTGCAGTTCATTGCAAAATGTTGCGGTATTTGGCCAATATTTATTTCCCAACAGTGGGACATTTGATTGAAAATTTGCTCAAAAAATCAAATGCCCCACATATGTCCGACGCCCCTCTGTGGAGCTTAACATTGATAGGTGCATAAGAACAACCATGTCTCAAACTTTATCTGAATTAGTTGTGTAACAGCATTTATACAAAATACTGTTAAATAAGGCCAAGTGGGCCTTCACTGCTATAAAGGGCATTCTATCCAATGGCATTCTAGGACCAATTAACATCTCCATGGCGTTGTTCTCCAAAGCATCGAGCAGCTATATAAATCAGATTGTCTTTTTGACCAGCATGAAGTACAGACATAGCCTTGGCAACAAGTGGGAGAAAATTTTGAGGCACATTTGAATTTAGCATCTAAACCAGGATTAAATTTTACCAGCCATTTTTGAAACAGGTGGATGAGTAGTTGTTCTGGTTGTTGCTGGGTTAGTTTTGAAAATCCAGAAGTCATCATAACAATAACATTTACCAGAGAGGTGAACAAGTTTAGAACTCCGAATTTAATGATGATGCTTAGAATCATTGACAAAAATAGAATCCACTAGCCAAAATCACGAATCTCAAATCTAAAACATCAGCCAAACAATACATTTCAGCAATAAAATATTGTTACAGAAGTGCTTTAATTACTTACATACTTTAAACAATACATATAAATCCGTAATATATCGAGACTTCTGTAGTATATCAAATTTCTTTAGAAAAAAGCTAGTAATAGCAGTTCATTATTGATCTGAGTGACAAGGCAGCATATTTCACAAAGGGCTATATTCAACGGTGAATATCTCGAAAACGGTTGAGAGGCCGAGGGGGGCCGGCTGGATAGAATTAAAGATTATACTTTTATCTAACTAATCGTGAAAAAAATAGCGAAATCGAACCATGGAGATTTGAGATTTTTGTCTTCAAAGATTTTTGACAGAAACGCCATTAAATTACATCGCGACGGTATAGCGCCTAAGTGAGAGGTCAAAATAAACTGGAAAATGACGCTTACCTTTTAAGATACCGTTCCAATGGGTAGATTGACTGTTGTAAAAGTAGTATCGCGTAAAATTTTCAAAAAAAAATGCATAACAATATGAAAAAAATCGATATTTATGAGCCCTATGTAAATTTTCGATGCTAAAAGCTTCGTGCGAGCATGAAGAAAATGGCGCAATCTGATTGGTCGAGATGTTCGCCTAATTGGCTGTCCAACCTCCTCTGATGCAGTCTAATGCACTCTAATGCATGCTAAAGCAGTAAAATGCAGTCTAATGCTGCCTGATGCAGTCTGATGCAGTCTAATGCAGTCTAATGCATGCTAAAGCAGTCTAATGCAGTCTAATGCAGTCTAATACAGTCTAATACAGTCTAATGCATGCTAACGCAGTCTAATGCAGTCTAATGCAGTCTAATGCACCCTAATGCAGTCTAATGCAACCTAATGCAGTTTAATGCAGTCTAATGCATGCTAAAGCAGTCTAATGCATGCCAATGCAGTCTAATGTAGTCTAATGCACTCTAATGCATGCTAAATGCAGTCTAATGCAGTCTAATGCAGTCTAATGCAGTCTAATGCACCCTAATGCATGCTAAAGCAGTCTAATGCAGTCTAATGCACCCTAATGCAGTCTAATGCAGTCTAATGCACCCTAATGCATGCTAAAGCAGTCTAATGCATGCCAATGCAGTCTAATGCAGTCTAATGCATTCTAATGCACCCTAATGCATGCTAAAGCAGTCTAATGCAGTCTAATGCAGTCGAATGCACCCTAATGCAGTCTAATGCACCCTAATGCATGCTAAAGCAGTCTAATGCATGCTAAAGCAGTCTAATGCAGTCTAATGCAGTCTAATGCACCCTAATGCACCCTAATGCATGCTAAAGCAGTCTAATGCAGTCTAATGCAGTCTAATGCAGTCTAATGCAGTCATTTAATGCAGTCTAATGTAGTCTAATGCAGGGTAATGCAGAGTAATGCAGTCTAATTCAGTCTAATGCAGTCTAATGCAGTCTAATGCACCCTAATTGCAGTCCAATGCAGTCCAATGCAGTCCAATGCAGTCCAATGCAGTCCAATGCAGTCCAATGCAGTCTAATGCAGTCTAATGCAGTCTAATGCAGGGTAATGCAGTCTAATGCAGGGTAATGCAGTCTAATGCAGTCTAATGCAGTCTAATGCAGTCTAATGCAGTCTAATGCAGTCTAATGCAGTCTAATGCACCCTAATCCAGTCTAATGCAGCCTGATGCAGTCTAATGCAGCCTGATGCAGTCTAATGCAGTCTAATGCATCCTAATGCAGTCTAATGCAGTCTAATGCATCCTAATGCAGTCTAATGCAGTCTAATGCAGGGTAATGCAGTCTAATGCAGTCTAATGCATGTTAATGCAGTCTAATGCAGGATAATGCAGTCTAATGCACCCTAATGCAGTCTAATGCAGTCTAATGCAGTCTAATGCACCCTAATGCAGTCTAATGCAGTTTAATGCATGCTAATGCAGTCTAATGCAGTTTAATGCATGCTAATGCAGTCTAATGCATGCTAAAGCAGTCTAATGCAGTGTAATGCAGTCTAATGCAGGGTAATGCAGTCTGATGCAGGTTAATGCAGTTTAATGTATGTTAATGTAGTGTAATGCATGGTAATGTAGTACTATATGCAATGTAGAATATATACATATACTGTCCCTCCCTTTCCCCTCTTCTTGGGACCTTATAATAGGCATACATGAAGTAGGTGCCCTTTTAGGGAAAGCCATAGCTGGCGTAAGTGATCAAACGGCATTTTGTCGATACGCAGTGGTTCGAACGTTACGCGGTGGTTTCGCTATTATACGCAGTGGTTCGAGCATTATACGTGGTGCTTTCGCCATTATACGCGGTGCGTTCGCCATTATAGTAATTATACGCAGTGGTTCGAGCATTATACGCGGTGCTTTCGTCATTATACGGGGTGCTTTTAACATAATATCCATATTCTTTCCATGTATATAATCTCACGATTGCTTAATGAATCTGGTAGGCCTATGTGGCTGTGCTTTTTGCCTCTGGTCTGCAATGAAAATGACATGCTTTTAAAAAGGTTTATTTATAAAAAGGTGACTGCACTTTGTGAGTATATATTATCATATAGTGTTGATTTATTAGTAATAAATATGTGTATATAACATAGGTATATAAATTAATATAACGCAGCGAATGCGCGCCAAGCTGTATAAATGCGGCTGAAATACGATATTAAAATCTTGAATGTGCCGTATGATTTAATTATGTTTTAATTTTTTTTTTAATTTTTTTTTTTTAGGATTTTTGTTTTAGGATTTAAAGCCTTTGAAAATGCTTTGTGGCCTTTGTCATTTGTATTTGTACTTGTACTGCATCACAACGCAGTGCGTAAGTAAACAGATTTCACATGTGAGGTTGTCTTGTATATATTTTTGCCTTCTTTGATACTGTACTTTGATAAACATTATTAAACACGCAAATTTAGTGAGACGCACACTCGCACATGCTAAATGTCACCTGCATGTCATTGTCATTGCCCTTTAACCCCTGGTCTAAATCATATGATTATTGAAGCGGGGCCGTTTTGATCTAGCACCGTATTTGTAGGGAAATTGTCTATACAATTTTATATACTAGATATCACAGCCATACCTGCCATTTTGATAAGTACACTCATTCGTGTTAGCCATATCGTACCTGTTCGGCTGTTCCTCTTTCGATACGAAACTTCGAGCGCCGAGTTATCATATACGGCACATTCAAGTGTATAATTTATGGATGATTCCAACGGACCATTCCCCGATTAACCAAAATTTTGAACTCAACAAATCTAGACTTTGGAATTTTCAGTCATTTTAGATTACAAACGGGAGATGGTTACCACTTCTTTGCGTAATACAAATTACAAAATGACTGAAAATTACAAACTTCCGTTCGCAAGGCTATATTATCCGCATTTTACAACATTTTGCAACGAAACTTTGGAATATTACTAATTTTGTGATGCTCTTTCAAGTTGTGATGAAATTTTTGTTTAGGCTAGTTAAGATCGAAATTTTGGAAAAGTGGTAACCATTTCCCGTTTGTAATCTAAATTGACTGAAAATTGCAAATTTCGCAAGGCTATATTATCCGCATTTTACAACATTTCGCAACGAAACTTTGGAATATTACTAATTTTGCGATGCTCTTTCATGCTATGATGGAATTTTGTCTAGACTTGTTGAGATCAAAATTTTGGTTAATTGGGGAATGGTGATTACAAATATTTCTTTAAAATTTGAGAACAATGCTATACCAAGGCAGCATTCACTACCCTGTTGGGTAAACTAGTTTAAATAGTATACCTTTAAAATAATGACAATTGATTAATTTTTGGTGCTTACATTATACACAACAAACTGCAAAGAATCATATTATCCATACTTTCAACTTCCCCAAGTGTATAGTTAATTAAATACGCATTTGCCCATTTAGTACAACTAAATTGCAAGCAAATTGTAAATTTCGACATACTAAAATGCTGTTTTCTGACCACCAGAATTCTGAAAAAACTTTCCCAAAGTCCAGGAAATGGCATTTCAGAGACTCTAATAAATTTTAAAATTTCCTCGGGCCTTTGGCCCTCGTTCTCAACCCCCAATCAAAAAGAGATTCTTACAGCACTGCATGCTTCTGTAATACATCTGTGCGTAGAATATGCGTATTTTTGTTTGTAAATTGCGTCTTCATTCTCCGGATAGCAAACAGCTTCGTGGCTTCGTAGGCAATGAAATATTTGGAAAATTTTTTCGTCATTCGGAAATTTTTGGCCTACACCCTCACCCCAACTATACATGCTAGCTACGGCCCTGCCCCCGTCGCCAACATTTCCGGGCAAAATTTTTTAGGTGCCCTTTTCATTCTAAAAGTGCTCCTCGAAACCAGCCCCCCCCCCAACTTTTTTATGCCGTCCTGCGTCCCTGATAGGATCGCGTTTCTTTGCCAACTTGATTACTTTATTTAAATGAGCTTGCAGGATTGGATAGAACTCAGCAATAAGTTTCACAGCCCCTAGAAAATTGCCTTGGTTTGCAATAGCTTTTGCAGTACTGTCATCAAAAGCAGTTGCTATAGATTCTGAATGTTTTCTTCGAAAGGGCAGAGTCTCAGTCTGAAGTGCTATAAAAAATATAACACTGATTTCCGCTAGGTGACTGATAATGATTTGTTGTCATTCGAAATCTAGTGAATTCCGGGGCCCCAGAGTTCTCCGGGCCTCGGTCTGCGCCCCAATGCCCGACTGCCTAGTCCGCCCTGTTTCTCCATAAGTAAAACTTTTAAAACGATGCGTGAAAACGTGTACATAATATATATATATATATATATATATATATATATATATATATATATATATATATATATATATATATATATATATATATATATATATATATATATATATGTTAATCATCACGATATGGCATTTATAATTTTTATATATGTTAATCACCGTAGGAAAGTATTTTTTAGTGAACAGGAAAAGTTGGGACTAAGTTGGATTCGAACCGGCGACCTCTGGGTTACAAGAGGTCGCCGGTTCGAATCCGACTTAGTCCCAACTTTTCCTCTTCACTAAAAAATACTTTCCTACGGTGATTAACATATATATATATATATATATATATATATATATATATATATATATATATATATATATATATATATATATATATATATATATAAATTAAATCACTTGTCTTTCTTTTCCATTTAGGGACCGATCATTATTTATGGCAGGGGTGGGGGCCGAGGAGAAAGTATAATGCAGCCAGAACAAATCATCCCACTTTGTTCGAAACAAAATTTCTACCTACCCCACCGGTGGAATGCTGGAAAAAATTTTTACCCCACCCAACCTCTTTTGTTGCAACATATATCTGTATATTGCTTTGATCACAATGGCCATTATAATTAAAAGGGAATGGGATTGAAGCACTGACAGTCATGTGGGGCATGCTATAGTTAGCATTACTTCTACTATTGGGTTACTTCTACAATTGCAAGGTACTATAGAAAGAATAAATAGTTATGTGAAGGCTTAAAAATTGTCATTTCATAGGGAAATGCCAAACGAATTAAAGGATTTTAACATTTCTTGACTGAAGATTCAGATGGAAGTTATATTGCTCACTCATATTAAGACTGGCATGCACTCTGACTCAAGCAACTGCACAGTATGATTCAAATTTGCATGTTATGAGGGGCATGGTGGTTTGGATCAGTGTATGCTGAAATCTTGGCAGTTGGCCATTTAATATTGGGATACTTTGCTAGTTTACTTCTCTAATTTTTACATACTTGTTAAATTAAAATATGATTGGGTTTTATAGTTTGTATTCAACGCTATATTCCCTTTTCACGAGATAGTACAATGCTAGTCCCATAAACATATATTATTAAACAACCACTGATATACCTGTAAAACCTGTGCAGCATATATTTCAAGATTAATTTTAAAACACTAACCGTATCTCACCACCTTATCTCTTTCCCACTTTAAAGTTTCACTGTATACAATTTGGTTTCTTTCACATTCTGGCATTTATTAGCAAGACGCCAGTGGCGGAAATTCACTTTTTCCGGTGGGGGGGGGGGCAAAGCCTACTAAATTTCCGACAAAACTCTCAAATTTCCGACATACCCCCCCCCCATTTGCACTCGAAAAGACTGTTTTTAGCCTTCTTTTAGGTCAAAATTTCCGAAAATTAGTCAATTTTCCCCCGCCCCACCAAGATTTCCGCCACTGCAAGACGCTCCACCGGAGCATTAAGTCGCTGGGGCGATGGAAATATGCTAATGCAACTTTAAAGCTAGATTACAGTCCCTTCTGCGCATGTGTCAAAAATGTAAACAAATGTGAGCACACTTGTTTTGATTGTGTGTGCTCCCCAGTCCTTATTCGGATATGCGCGCTCAAAATGGCCGACTCGCAAGAGTTATATAATAGAGCCGTCCACTTCAAAGGCAAATCCTTCTAATGTTGGTCGCCAAAACCAACCAGGGAATCGAAAAGAACATTTCGCTAAAAGGTATGCAACGAAAATGTACTTTAATGATGCTATTGGTCGGTGAAATCATTTCAAAACTAAAGCTGGAATTAAAAGTGACGAGGGTTCGCGAATACTCTGCTGATCGAGCCTGTATACGAAACATCAAGACGGATTTAATTGTGGTAAGCACATAACACATATCCCTGGATATTTCAGTTATTTTTGTTATATTTCCTCATTACAAAACTTTATTGTGCACTTATAGCGCTGTGGAAACCCAGACGGATCAGCAGCCATTTTGCCAGTATATGTTCAGCAGGGGGAAACAGCAGTGAAGCCATATAAAGATTCTCCTAAGCAGTACGAATACATCCTACAACTTATAATGAAGGTATGTATAACATTTTATGCTTTCCTGAATCCTAGTGAGAAAAAAGTGACTTTTAGTTTTCATTATGAAATTCCATATTCTTT